CCCCAAAACCCCCAAAACCCCAAAACCCCGCTTATAGAAAATATCAGTATTAATTAAAATAACTGATTTCGAATTTCGAAATTATAAGATATCTAATTTATTATTAATAAATTGTAAAATAATGGATCCATAAACAGAATGCCCCTTTTAATAAAGTAATGATGACTCTATTCGCTCATCTAGACCACAAATAGATGTTGCAAAAGAATATATAGCTTAAGCAAGAAGCTAAGGGTTTAATGAAATTGAAATCAATTCAGTCAGTGCACTTTTACAGCTATTTGGTGTTGAATTAGTAAAGTTTTTAGTTGTTTATAATTTATTTAGCTTGAAGATCAAGAGATTCAGAGATTTATTTACAGAGATTAAACTTATATTCTGAACCTAGTATCTTTGTTTTAAAGGTATTATTCATGATATCAATAAATGTTTTTTAGTTTTGAAAATTTTAAATTTAACTTGCCTTCAATCACTACAAAAGAACAAGCATCACCAGATATGCTGCTTAGTATTAAAGATAGGAGGATCTCTGAATTTCAACAATTAACTATGTAGACTTATAATAGTTCTCACCATGGCACTTAAAAATATTAGAATCAGCCTTAGAACATGATTGGGGAAGAAAGAATGAATAAAGGTGGCGAATTTTAGATAGAATACAATCTAGTGAAATAAAAGATCGATCATTCTTAACCAGTTAGAGCTAGCTTTAACACAAGAAAGGCTGCTGATAACAAGATTCAGGTACATCTTGCATATCTGTTCGCTTCCCCATTAGTTTAGCCTTTATCATCGAATAAATACCATGATTAAATTCCACCTATTGGTTTTAAAAAGGAATTTGAAGGATTACTTGAAGAAATTGATTAGATGAAGATAGAATTTATATATCATTACCAGTAAGCTACAAAGAATAATTTGATATCTACATTATCTTAAAATCCAATAGGTTTACATTTTTCAGGCCATGGATTCCAAAACAATCTGGCTTCTCATCAATAGGATAGTTATGTATTCGGTGAGAATAAGTCGAAAGGAAAAAGTTTTCTAGCTTTCGAGGATAAAAATGGAGCTTAACATAATATCTATGATGAGGATTTAAAATAGATTTTAAAGGAAAAAGATAACCTCAAATCTTTGAAATTTATAGTAGTCAACTCTTGCCATTCATAGATCTGTGGTGAAATATTCAAAAATTGCGGTGTTTAGCATGTAATTTGTATTAAAGCAGAAAAATAATTACTTGATGAAGTAGCTGTAAAATTTTCTAGAATCTTCTATCAATTAGTATTTACAAGTAGTAAAACAATCTGTGAGGCCTTTGACATTGCTAAAAAGGATGTCTTAAGTAATTTCAATAAAAAAGAATCAGAAAAATTCCTAATCTACAAAGATGATAATCATGACTGTGAGATAATTTATAGTGAAATGAATAAAGGAGGTGCAAATAGAAATTAAATCTATCCTAAGTTATCGGTTATTCCATCTTAAGTTGAACCTTTTATTTCAAGAAATGGAGATTAGTTTGAATTGATAAGCATATTAAATTTGGAAAATGTTTAAGTTGTCTAAGTCTTTGCTCTTCCCGGCATGGGTAAGTCAAGTCTTATTAGAAATACTGCAAATTTTTTACATGAAAGAAATGTATTTTAGGATGGGATACTATATCTCAACGTTTCAAAAGAAGATAAACTTGAAGGAATTATAAGATTGATAATTAGAAATTTAGAACCAAAATATAAGATTGATAATGATAAATCTGAAAGATATTAATAGAATTAAAGCGAATCCTCTGAAATTGAAAGAATAAGCAATCTATTCGCTTAATTTTCAAAAAGATTTCTGATAATATTAGATGGTGTAGAAATATTGTAAACTGAAGGGGAGCAATTTGTGTCATTCTTAAATCATACTCTAAGAGATAATAAAAGAATTCAATTTCTATTTACCTCATGCTATATAGTAACTGGAATAGAAAATTTTAGAATTAAAAGAATGAAACCTTTAAATTTTGAGAATAGCACCAAGTTATTTTTAGAAAAAATTCCAATTAGGGATGAATTAATAGATATGAAGCAAATATATGAGTTAGATGACTACACCGAAAGTCTTGTTGCTGATGGAAAACTTTCCCATTATAATATGGGCTAAAATTAGCCATGTCGAAGGAAAAAACCCCATGATCATGATGAAAAATGCGTGAGAAATTATATTTTAAAGCATCCATTATTGCATCTTCTTGGTGGACACCCTTAATCTATTAGTATGATAGCTCCATTATTAATTGAGAAAACTTTAAAACAACTGTATGAAACACTGATAAATTCAAGAATTCATTTATTGACTAATCATACTAACAAGTAATCGCCTTTAATATAAAGTCTGGAATGTTCATTAAGCATTATTCTTGAGAAGGAACCAAAAGCTTTGGATATATTTTATCTTCTTGGAAAATCTTATTAAGGCTTGGTAAAAGAAGATATAATAGACATTTTTGTATATGCCTCGGAACAAAAGTAAGATGTTGAATAAAGGATAATTTAGCTAAGTTAATACTCTCTAATCTATCTAGATAAGTTACATTCAGGGATTTAAAAATACAAGGTACCTTAATTTCTAGATAAATACATCGAATCTAAATTAGACGACAACTCCCTAATTCAAATTATTGAAATGATTGCTAATTTCTATAATCGAAAGATATAGAAGCTTTTCGATAAAGTCAGCAACGATGAAAAGACTGATTCCTATATTGAGTTCTTGTAAAATTATGAACTTGATATACTTTACTATTTAAATGAGCATTTCAAAAAGTTACCATTAAAAAGTGAACAGAAACACTAAGATTGTCCTCCATTTTCTGACCTATTCTTTTAGCATAATATAGGATTATATCATTCTGTTTCAAACATCCATCCTTTTGGGAAAAGATTAGGTTCCTCTGGATAGCCGAGTGATTAAGAATCATCATCTACCTAAGAAAGAGGGGAAAGTAATAAGAGTGATAATGATTAAAAGCTCTCTTAATTTGCAGATCTTAGTTTGAAGAAAAGCTATAGTTAAAAGAAGAAGTAAAATGATTAAATTGAGGAAAGAAAGAGTTTGGAAGATAAGGATTCAAGCAAAGATGGAGATGAAAGCAGCAGTAGCAGAACGCAAAAGCATTATTAGAGTGATGATGATGAAGAGTCGTAGAATTTTAACAGAAGAGATGACTCTAGCGATGATGAAGACGATGAGGATGATCCTCTCTATAATATAAAGTAGCATAAAAGAATGGCGAAGATAAATAGATTTGAGGATTCAGATTCAGATAATCACACTAGTAAAAGAAAAGCATCTGACAATAACAATAATAACTCTAATAGTAAGCTTAATGATATAGACTACAGCAAAAGTAATCAAGCACAAGCAAAAGGTTAATTGGAATTAAATAATCTTGCTAACAAACCAATAGGTGCTAAATTTAACTCGTTTAAAGATAATTCTAATGATGATTAGACGTCACCTGCTAACAATCTAAGAATTGATATTGATCAAGAGGAGGAGATAAAATAGGATGAATTAAATTAATACAATGAAGCTATTGCAAACATGAAGAAGTATGTAAAGAAAGAAACTATAACTCAGAGTACTTACAACCAATTCATGCATAGCATCTCAAATTAGATTTAAAGTAAATATGTCAACCAAAATGATAAGTATTCTAATGGTAACACTTAGCAAAAATCATAAGACACGCATAGAGTAATCTAGCATTAATTATCTTAGATAGAAATGCTATTACTTAACTATTTAAAGCTCTTAGCATTGTCTGGAGAAAGAACATATGATTAATACTAGGTAGAGGTTGCAAAATATTAAGACAAAGTAAATAGCAGGCTGCTTTAAGCTAATATGATTATGATTGACATTTATTTCTTATTCAAGGGCAATAATCAGTAAAATGTAGTATCTGCTATCTTATATTAGCTTTTGAAGATATTTAAAAGGATTAAATGTGATAGAGGAAAAGGACTAGCTAACTTTTTCATTGCAAAGCATTATCAAAAAGCAGGGGTAAGTTAAATTACATTTAGAAAAAATTTTCATAGCAATTTTCCTTAACTAACAATTTTTATATAGAAATATGCAAAGGGAACGGTAAAATAGGCAGCTGAAAAAGCTTTCTAGAAATTTTAAAGAGATGGTACATACTAAAAAGGAATGTATAATGCTATGGAGTTGCTCAGGTAATTTGATGATAAGTAAATTCTTAATGTTAGTGCAAGTAAAAAGGAGATTAGAGACAGCATAAGTTCGATCTCTAATATTTATGAGTAAGGATTAAATAGTTAACTAAGCATGCTACTTGATTTCATAGAAGATCATTAAGAAGTAATAATAATAGCTAATTCTAGTAATAAACTTCAAGTTCCTAATGACTACAACCGATATGGAATAACAAAAGGCTTCAATTCAGACATTATCAAATCAGATAATTAGAAGCAATAGCAAAAGGCAAATGTAAAAACACCCATTGATTAAGAAGCCATCAAGAAGAAAATTATTTCATTATAATTAGAAGAAATAGTTATAAAAAGATGATCAATAGTAATCATAAAAAGGCTTTTGGTATATTTCTTAAAAAATCATTAAATTTATACAATCCATAATAGATTTAGATTATATGCTTTCGGGGTTTTGGGGTTTTGGGG